GGCACAAATTTGAAACCTTTAAATATGCAGCGAATTTGGAGTATTGGCATGCCAAAGAGAATCTGGGAGTAATATTGTATAATCAGCCAAATATGGGAGTATTAGTGTGAATTTATCCTAATATTATCATCATTTCAAAATTTTGAACTGGCAATTGGAGTGCATTAATGTGCTTAGAAGTCAGCACATAATGAATGCATTATGCTGCAGAGATGAGAACTGATCATCTCTTGAATAGGTCATTGGAGCAAGAGTTCACTTCTGGAACTTCGTTATTAATGAGGAATACATTAACTAAAGCCGGAAAGCTTGGCCTTATTTTGCTTGAGGATTTGGCATCTCTTGCAGCAAGTGGTTCTGTATGTGTCCACACAAATTTTATCTTTTTTCATTGGTCAAGTTTTGATTTTGTTCTACATTATTGCCAGTTTGAGATCATTAAACTTGTATGGTTATCAATTGTAAAATTAAGTCACTATGAAAGGTTCCTGGAAACACATTTGATCAAACTTATTCGTATTTGGAATTCATGTTTGCAATCAATTTATTTGTATTTTAAATCCTTCCTGATGGCTATTTAGGTTTATTCTGTCCAATTATGTGGTGTTATTCCGAACCTTGATTCCATACGAGGAGATGCTGATTTTACTACAATTTATTACTCCCTCCGTCCGGATTTTAAATTTCCGGTTTAACTATTGCTCATTTTTAGTAGAAGTTGACTAATGGGCTACATTGCCCAAAATACCCCTGCCCCCACACCAAAATACTTCTGCAACCCTCAACACCACAACCACCCCAATCACTATCCCCACCGCCCCAACCGTCGCCCCAGCCTCCTCCGTACTTGCAATTGTAAATCAAACCCTCCCTCAACCGTAGATCTACAAGGAGATGAAATCGAATCACCGCACGTAGATCTAATCGGAAAGAAGAAGAATGAGAAAAAGAAGGAGGGGAAGGGAGAGAGAAAACGATGGTCAGATCTGGCCGAGAAAGGAAAGGAGAGAAAGAAGAAAAAGAGGGGAGGGGAGTGAGAGAACTTGATGGCGTGATTTTGCGGAGAAAAGAAAGGGAGAAAGAAGGAAAAGGAGAGGAGGAAGAAATGAAGAAGAAGATAATTGGGAGAAGAAAAATAGAAGGGGGAGGGGGAAGAGAGAAAAACGAGAGAAATAAGAAAAAGAAGAGAAAAACGAGAGAAATAAGAAAAAGAAAGGGAGGGGGTGGCCAGGCCTGCGAGAAAAGAGGGGGGGGAGAAGAAAAAAGAAAAGAGGAAGAAAGAAAGGAAGAGAAGAAGGGGTATTTTAGGAAGAGTGGGTATGAAAACGTAGAATGAGAACTTTATTTCTGGACGGAGAAAAGCGTAGAGTGGGAGCTTTAATTCCGAACGGAGGGAGTAATATATTACCTTTATTAGCATTTTTATTGTTTTTGATTCCTAAACACCCTAATGAAACTTATAGGTTCTCTGACACCAGATATGTTCGATCCTAATGACATCACTTCGTACTGATTCTGAGGTGAAGCTTCTGTTAGTCTCGTTGAAGTGTGATATCATAAAATCAAATTCCTACATACTGAATTTTTGTTTATTTAACTTGATTGATCTGCTCATAAAAAAACTTGATTGGTCATTATTCTTAGTTTCCTTTCCTCATTATTTTCCTTCATCACACAGTTTGAAGGAGAAACTGGAGAACCATATTTCCGTAGGTTGGTCTTGCGATCAGTTGCCCATGTAATCAGACTTTATAGTTCATTGCTAATAACTGAATCTGAGGTATGATCTTATTAATTTAAAACATAAGTTATTAGCTTTCGTTCTTTGTTTATCAAAATGATTTGGTTATCCATTGGTTTACTAAAACAGTATAGAATAATGCTGATAGCGTACCAAATATGATATACTAATATGGACAACACCACACCTTTATTAGAAAGAGGTTAATTGGGTGTAGATAAGATAGAAAAGGGATAAATAAAAAACCATCCTGAATGGGAGATGCTGAATAGATGGCAAATTGTGTTCACAATTAACCTAATTGGAGAAAACATTGACATAAATTTCTTATAGGCAAAGGATCCTACTTATTGGGAAACATGCAATCATACCCCAGCAGCTAATATTTATCGTGATTGGGTTACAGCGTGGATCATGGAAAGGAACTTTCACCGCTACTTCTAATTCCTTATGTACTCGGTTTCTCATATTCAGATCATTTTATGTGGTTGAACTATTGAGAAGCATTAAGTTGCTTCTGAGAGCTTCTTTTATCCAAGGTTGTTAAAAGTGCAATCTAGATTGTAAGATTAGATGATTTTATGCAGTAGGGTATCCGGAACGATTTGAATATCATAAGATCATTGAGTTGGGTCGTATAATCGTTCGATTCATGCTCGATTTGTTCTTCGAAGATGTGAAGTGGGTTAGATTACAGGAAGGGGTCGCTGCTTATCATCTGTTGAATTTTAGAATTATGAGTAATTGCCAGTTACAACCCATTGAAAAATGAAAAGGTTATCTGTTTGTAGTATGAAAGAATGCAGCGAGGTCTTTATGAACTGAACCTGCAAAAACACAATACCGTGGAAGGACAGCGGAGTCGCCGGAGTTGTCCTTAAGGTAGTAGTGCCCGCCTACCGTACCGGAAAAACATGGGCACTCTCCTCCCAGGATAAAACCGCTATCGTGTGTGGAGATTGTACAGACCAACCACACACCAACGAACAAGAACAACGTAGGAACGTTGGCGACCAAAAACTTTAAAGGGGATGGCCGGAAATTTGGCCGGAAAACCAAAAGTTCTCTCAAAAAATAAAACAAGAGAAATTTTCTTTCTTTTTCTTTTTGTTTCTCACGTGAAGCAACACAATAAATGATGGAGTGAGTTTTGATTTTATAATTAAGGAGTTTAGAAAAAATGTAACTCCCACCATTAACCATTGGGATTAATCATGGCATTTGTGGTGTGTTAATGGTGATTAATTAGTCATTAACACGTCCGTTACGCTACGCTCCGTTTAAAATTTGTCCCAAATAATTAGAGATTAATGGTCAGTTAACTACGTAAAAAGGACTAATTTTAAACAATACGTAAAATTAATAAAAGAAGATTGGTTCAGTAAAATTGCAAAAATTGCAATCCTCATCATATTCTTTTATTATCGGGTTAACTCTGAGAATCAATTTCTCATTTACCCTCTACCATTTTTGGCGTAATATTTGTCAAAACAGTTATCTCATTTAAGAGAAAACACGTCCATTAATTAACGGTTAAAACCGTTAGTGGACCTATTGACAAATATATCCTAGTTGGTCCATTTAATGCCAATTAAAAATTCTAAAAATTCCAACACCTCCACTCTTTTTTTCCTTTTTTTTCTTTCTCTTTTTTG